CTGTGCCGTTTTCACAGAGACCTGCTAAGGGAGGACTTAGCTGGAACGTGACGTGTTCGTCCTGTGAACGGTGGCGTTAAAATTAGCCCATTTCGGCGCCTGACAACTTGCCTTGTTTGTCAGCCGCGGTTTTGCCTTGTGACTCTAAGACCTTTCCCGCTCCCCTAGGAGATGCACCGGTTGAGATGCACTTAAAGGGTGGCAAAACCCGGGTATAAGTATACAAGTCTAACATCCCATGTGGACAAGTCCTGAGACTTGTCCACATGGAATGTTAGACTTGTATACTTATACCCGGGTTTTGCCACCCTTTAAGTGCATCTCAACCGGTGCATCTCCTAGGGGAGCGGGAAAGGTCTTAGAGTCACAAGGCAAAACCGCGGCTGACAAACAAGGCAAGTTGTCAGGCGCCGAAATGGGCTAATTTTAACGCCACCGTTCACAGGACGAACACGTCACGTTCCAGCTAAGTCCTCCCTTAGCAGGTCTCTGTGAAAACGGCACAGGCAGAGGCAGCATATAACTCTGCTGGCAGATTAAATCTCAGATCCATTTAGCAAACACTTTGTAGGATCCCAGGCTCAGTCATCCTCACTTATCACTTCAAGGGGAAAGGCCAGCGGCAGCGAGGCACTGAGCGGGACTTGGGCTCGAGCACCAAACCAAGGAAGACTCTGGTCTGTCTTTCCCCACCTTTTGCACGTAGCCGGCCTTCCGCACACTCTTTAGGGTGGGAACATATCCACCTCTTTGTTTGTACCGCAGGCCTCCTGAGCAGTGCGTCAAGATCAATATTTTCCTGATGCTAATAGACGTAGTAGAAATCAGGCTTACTTCTCATTGTCATAGTATAGCTTTCCCAGGGCCCAGGCAATAATGATTGGAAAAGGGATACCTGCGAGGAAAGAAACATATCGCTCTGAGTGGCAGAAGTACAGAGGAAGGTCCTGGGAAGATCTACTCCAGATTTCTGACCAGGACTCTGGGGGCATTCACGAGACGCCACCCCCAAAGCGCTGGCTCTGGCTCTGGAAGATGGTTTCTGATGAAATTTGCAAATTCAAAAGCTGGAAATTGGGACAAATGCAGGCGATGTTTTCATGAACTTTCCCCCTCCGCCTCCTTGTTTTTTCAACCCAATATCGGGCTGGCTTGGAAGTGTGATTGGCAAAATGAAAATGAGGTGAACGTTTTAAAACAAAGACAACCCAACTGGGGAAAGGAGTGCCTACAGAGTCCGGTCAGCCAGAATTTACTGGTGACTCATGCGGATACATTTTAGTCAGCAGCTTTCTCCTTTTTAAGATTAAAGATTTTGTATCTTGTGAAAGTTATTTTTTTTATAAAAGTCCACCTTATGTATGAGGGACACTAATAATAATCTTAATAGAGGAATGTGCTCAACAAACACTCTTTAGGCACACTGACATGATTTTAAAAAGAGGGGTCCAACTGAACGTTGATGGGACTTTTGTGCTTGTCTGCTCTGCATGGATCCCCTGCATGAGTGCTGACGTCCACCCTGCTGTCTGCACGGATCCCCACATGCAGCACTGACGTCCACCCTGCTGTCTGCACGGATCCCCGCATGCAGCGCTGACGTCCACCCCTGGTGTCTGCACGGATCCCCGCATGCAGCGCTGGTGTCCACCCTGGTGTCTGCACAGATCCCCGCATGCAGTGCTGACGTCCACCCTGCTGTCTGCACGGATCCCCGCATGCAGTGCTGACGTCCACCCCTGCTGTCTGCACGGAACCCCGCATGCAGTGCTGGTGCCCACCCTGGTGTCTGCACGGATCCCCGCATGCAGCGCTGGCGCCCACCCTGGTGTCTGCACGGATCCCCCGCATGCAGG